TGCCTCCAGTAGCTGGAGCAAAGTCTTTATCAATAGGCTCCTTTTGATCCGGGTTCTGTGCTTAAAGCCATCCACAGGTTTCCATTTGTTGGCTTGGTCCCTGATTCTTACCCACAGGCTTCTGACCTGCTTCTAGCTGTTCTTCAGAGACAGCTGTTCACACTCAATCTCCCTCCTGATGTAGAGGGCAACCCCTCTGCCCCTCTTTCCTCACCTGTTTCTTCTGGAGAGCCTGCAGCCATCAATAGTCACACTGCATTGACATCCCACCAAATTTCAGTAATGGCAAAGAGGTTATCACTTTCTAGCAGCACAGTGGTTTCCAGCTTCTGTTTGCTGTCTGTTCTATGTGCATTGGGTGAACAACATCAAACAAATTCAGAGAGAGTTCAGAAATACTAAGAAACATGATACAAAGAAAGGCAAGGTCATTTTGTATCRTTCTCTCTTAAGGGCTCATCTGGTAACCTCTCTTTGTAATTGTCTTCTACATTGCTAGGATCATACACTGAAAAATAACTTCTGGAGTTCGTGCAGCAATTGGAAATCATACTAGCACAGGACTAAATGTATTCTTTTAATGCCTGTAATGGAATTCAGCACCTTTAATACACCTAACAAATTCAAAGAATGTGCCCTATTGCTAAATCCCTTGTATCTGTCATCCTAAACAAAATATGTATTACATGTATAAGTCACTAAGCCATGAGGATGGAGAAATCTGACCTTTAATGGCCTCTCAAAATGACAGTACCAAATGGTTTGAGAAGGTCAAGTCTGATTTAAATTGTTGATGAATTGGAAACTAATTGACTAGAACTGAATGTTACATGGGAAAAGCGGTATACAGTATAGTTTAGAGCCTAATGAGCATATTAACGATCAGAAAAAMATTTTTTTCTGGTCACCTCAAGTAAAATTGTAGAGGTGCCAATATATAAAAATTTTGTAATAGTTACTTTTATCTTACTGTGGCATAGATGCAGTTGTTCAATGATGCTCAGCTTTGATTCATAGTGTGCTTGATGATCTGTCAAACTTGGTATTCCTAAAGTATAAAGAGAGTTTTCTACGAATCACAGATAAACTTAGAGAAAAAAAAAAAAAGGCATTTAACATATTTTAAACTAAACCCACTGTGATAAGCCCTCCAATTGGAAATTCCATTATTTCCTTGTCCATTTGATGTTGGATATCAGGGGGTTTTGCCAAATACCTGAAAGCCATGTTGGATACAAGCCACAACTGTCAAAAATGTAACAGTTCTGGGTATTTGAATGTTACATTGTGATGTTTCTCATGAAAATTTCATGAAGAGCATTCATTCAAAGAGATTCTATGCATAAGGCAGATGGATGGAATTTAATTGCCCTTATTAAAAATAAGAAAGGAAGGCTCTTTATTACTTCATTCTATTAACATTCAAGATAGATTATCTTTGTTGTACATTTAGGAATTTGCAAAAGGTACTCTAGGGTTTTTTATATAAGCCAAGTAGCAAAAGTCAGGTCATAAAAATCCTGTTCTGTGTCACAAGTCAAATCTTGTCAGCTAATACCAAAGAAAAGACTTTGTGTTTATAAGCAGACATGAAACATACCCTTCTTTGGGAAGAGCCTGTGGCTGGTGAATGATTTGACATTTATCCGCTGATTGGTAGAAATCCTAGTTCTGAAGAGAGATGGAAGCTTGCCAGAGAGTTGTGTTTATTGTCCCAAAGCCCTGGGATGATTGGTGAATCCAGAACACCAGTTATTTTTCCTGTTTTTCTGGTTGTAGGTAGTAACTTTGAAAGAAACAGATGGACCTGCATGGTTCCATGATTAGTGTCATCACCAAAATGTTGATTTATTTGGGAATTGAATGGCCTACACAGCACAAAGCTTGATGAATGCAGATGGGATTCAGCTCCCTCAAAGGGGGAAGAGGGTCTTTGGTCAAGGGCTGGTGGGGCTTATTGATAGGGCTTTATATTAGATATGAGAGGGAGGGACATATCATCAGGTTTAGTAGTGATAAGGTGTGGGGACAACATGCCATCCCACTTATGCTAGTGAGATAGATAGCCAGAAAGAGATGTTCAGAGCCTGGAGAGGGTATTCAGGTCAGCAGCAGAGCACCTGAGGGACTGCAAGACATTCCAGCAACACCAGACAGAAAGTCATCTTCACTGGGGGGCAACTTTAACCCCTTTATGCTAACACAGTGTGGGGAATAGAGATGGAACTAGAGATGAGTGGACGCCTGCAAGGCTTGGATAATTGGCATCATGGCAACACAGGGATGTCTCCTATGACTAGGGTGTTGGAATGAAAGAATGCAGCCACCRTATATCATATTTGAAAACTCAKGGCAGCCCAGTGAAGTTCCCACTGACAGGAAAGGGGGAAGCGTGACCCCCACTTTTAAAAACGGAAATAAGGAAGACCCAGGAACTGTAGGCCARGCAGTCTTACCTCAGTAACTGGCAAGATCATTGAGCAGATCCCCCTGCAAACTATGCTAAGAGACATTGAATATGATGAGGTGGTTGGTGACAGCCAGGATGGCTTCTCTAAAGACAAATCATGGCTGACCAATTTGGTGGCTTTCTGTGATTGGTTTACAGCAGAGGTGGCTGAGGAAGGGTCGCAGAAATCACCTATATGGATTTGTGCAAAGCACTGACACTCTACCACATGAATTTTCACAGGTGGATCGCTTGGCAGATAAAAGATTGGCTGGGTGGTACAGTCAACAGCTTGATGTSTAGTTGGAGAGCAGCTGGAAAGAAGTCTAATTAGGAAAACTGGGAATCCCAGGCTTAGTACTGGAACCAGTGCTACTTGGCATCTTAGTCAGCAACATGGGCAGTGGAATTGAGTGCACCCTTAGCAAGTTTGCCGATGACACCAAGCTGAGTGGTGTGGTCAGCACACTGGAGGCCACAGATTGTCTTCTATTGACCTTAACAGACTTGAGAGGTGAGCCCATGGGAAWATAAGGATACGCAACAAGGCCAAGTGAAGCAAAAGGTTCTGTACCTCTGTTGGAGCCATTCCAAGAAAAAACACAGGCTTGGTGGAAAATGGATCAAGACTTTCTCTGCATTGTTTGTGGATGAAAAGTTTGGTATGACCCAGCAATATGCACTCGCAGCCCAGAAAGCCAGCCACATCCTGGGCTGCATCAAAAGAGGCGTGTCCAGGAGGTCGAGGGATGGGCTTACATCCCTCTATTCTTTTCTTGTGAGATTCCCACCTGGAGTATTGCATCCAGGTGTGGAGCCTCCAACACAAGAATGACTTGGACCTGTTAGAATGAGTCCAGTGGAGAGGCAAAGGTTGGTCAGAGGTCTGAAATATCTCTTCTACAAAGAAAACCTGAGAGAGTTGGGAGTGTTCAGCTTGGAGAAGAAAAAGTTCTGCAGAGACCTTATACTTTCCAGTACCTTAAGTAGACTACAAAAGGCTGGAGAGGGGCTTTTCACGAGGGCATGTAGTGATAGGAAAAGGGAGATTTGCCTTAAGCAGGAGAGTAGATCTTCGAAAAAAAGGTTTTATTGTGAGAATGGGGAAGCACAAACAAGTTGCTCAGAGAAGCTGTGGATCCCCCATCCCAAGGTGTACAAGACGAGGTTGGATCTATCTCAAAATAACTTGCTGTAATGGAAGAGGTCCCTGCCCATGGCCATGCCCATGTCAAAGCAGATGACCTTTAAGGTCCCAAACTATTTTGCAATTGTATGGTTATCTATGTGCACTTGTGTTACAGGCAATTAAGTAGCTCGTGAGCAACATCACACCCCACAAACTACCAAGATATATAGGCTGTGCTTGCTTGCTATACATTTTTCAGAAATGTGTGAAGACTTACCTGACCTGTTTGAAAATATGACATGTCTAAATGAAAGAAGTTGATTAGAGAGATGTTGATATTGAGCAATTTCCCTTGTTAGTTTAATCCCCCTAATCAACTACTTGTCAGTAATGACCAGTAAAGACATCTAATAACTTATSTTATAGTTAGCATTGATCCTCTTTCTGTGATAATTTTGGATTTTCATTTTTGAATGAAAATAATATTATTTTCCAATAAAAATATTTTGCCATTGTAGCAGAAATGAGGTACAATATGATGTATTTCAAACAGATCATTTTAGACATGCTGACTTGATTTCTGAGAAATTTCCTAATCCTACTGTGCTTCTAGTGTTACTTGCTAGCAGGTGTCATAAAACCCAATTACTCTTGCTCAGTATTTTTTAATATTTCAATATTGASCACACTAGTGTGAGGTTTTCTGGCTGTGTCTGAGTGTTTTAATATCATTATGAGTATTCAGTCCCTTCAACTGTGCTATCCACATAGCTCCAATGTTTTAAACATTTCACTTAAATGTTTAAAACAATTTCCCAATGTTTTGCAGTCATATAATGTGTTCATCCTCATAGCACTTYCCCTGTCACAGTAAAACACTGTCACTGTCCATCTGTAAGACAGACGATTGGGGCAATAGATGTAAAGAGCAACAGCAAATAYGTAATAATGATAGAAGCAAGAAACATAACCTGGCTCTTCTGAGTTGCTGGCCACATCTTATACTCCATGTTCATTCTTTCTTATGTACTYCTCTGATGTAAAGGGAAGAGATTTTCCCTATTGTTGATACACATGGCAATCGAATTTTTCACATAGAATAGTAAGGACTCCTGCAAGTAGGGCAACATCAGTGTTGTATGGTACCATAGGATGAGTATAATGATTGCAGGTTAGGTAGTATCGCTTCTGATTTTGTAAGTATAAAGTTTTTAGCCATTTTTAATGATTTTTTTTTTATCAGTATTTTGAGTAATGTAAGTTAACCATAAATGCTGCCTGGGTATCTGTTTTTTCTCATACAGTTCCTTCTGTGGAAACAATCAGGTGATCACTGAATGTTAAGCAGGATGGTGATTTGGGCTTTCATGCAGTATCTCACAACTAATGTGAAATCCCTCAATTTATACATTTCTCTTTCAGAGGATCAAATCCCTCGAGGTTTTCCAACCATTGATATGGGCCCACAGCTGAAGGTGGTTGAACGAACTCGTACAGCTACCATGTTATGTGCAGCCAGTGGCAATCCTGACCCTGAAATAACTTGGTTCAAAGATTTCTTACCTGTTGACACAAGCAACAATAATGGCCGCATCAAGCAGCTACGCTCAGGTAGGGTCTTGTTACTGTTTCCACCGACGCCCAGAGTTGTTCTCTCTCACTTTTTCTTTCTTTTCTTTCTCTTCCTTTTTTAAAAATTTTTATTTATAGGTAATGATTTCTCTTTCTCCTCTCCTTTTCTGTGTTACTGAGTGTGTTGCCCATGTCTGTGATGTTGTCATAGCTTTCTATAGAGTCTGTCTCTATGTGTTTTGCAGCTTCTGTTTACTCCACATTGCTCACTGCTGTGACTGTATTTTTGATAGTTTTTTTCTTTACTGCTTTTTGCAGTATTTGATGGATCCATTTTCTCCTCTTTCTTTCTTCTTTCCTTTTAATTTTTTTTTAACAAATTTATTTCAACATTGGACTTCATTCAGAAATTGCAAGGAGTACCAATGGTTATATTCATCAAAACCAAAACCTGCATTAGACACTTCAATTAAAATCGAAAATGTGTTTTGTGCTGTCTTTTCCACATTTGACTTCACCAAAGATTAGCCAGTTTGGACACATCTTCTTTCCTCTCACAAATACATAAAGCACAGTACTTCTTCCCATGCAGATTTATACCTGAAAAAAAAACAAAAAAAAAAAAAAAAAAAAAAAAAAAAAAAAGGAAAAGAAATCTTTGGGTAATTATGGAATAAAGTTGGGGTTTTTATGCTGCCTGAGCATTTTTTTCCAACACATTTAGCCACAGTAGTGTGCGCCCACGCTAAAGCTTTATGAATCCTGTATTTTCTGGATCTACAGAAGTCTGCTTTTGGTGTAGATTCCAGCTTTTGCTGCTCTCTTTYTCTCTTTGCCCCTTGCACCTCCCTAGCAGTTCTCTCACTCTCCTCCTCACCTAGTTTATTCTTTTGCTCTCTTTAGACTTAAAACAAAAGAACAAAATAACCAAAAACATCTCTAAATTTATCAAGTTTAAAGCTTATCCCGAAATAAGATCATTGGGATCTAATGAGCTTTTATCTTTGACAATTGTAGTAGATTTCGTTGTAGAATCTAAGTTGTTTAATCACGTGTCTTCCCAGAACTCTCAGCTTTTGACCTGTCCTGTGATGTTAAATCGTCTTGTTAACTGACTTTTTGCTTGTTGTCAGCAGAACTGTGTAAATTAACCTTCTGTTAATGTAAATTAAGATTTTTTTCACATGTGACATAGATGATTTAGTATATAAAGCTTTAACTGAAAACTTTGTACCAAATTATAAGGAATATAATAATATTTTTATGCTGTCTTTCTTCTCTCCGTATTTAAATCTCCAGAATCTATTGGTAAGTGCTTAGTTCTGAAGCGCACTTCACCCCCACTAATTTCCATATTCAGAATATTATTATTATGATTATGATAATTATTATATGATTAGTATTATTATTCTTAAAATGCATGGCATGCATTTTACTAACAGTCAGTATAGTCACAAGATCCCTATAGTGGCGCACACGCACACCTCCACAGAAATGTTGTCTTATCAGTCCTAGCAACACCTGAAAGAAACAGTACACATGTATCACATAGATCTAGAACAGTAAATGCCATAATCCAGCCTAAACTACAGTGTTTGTTTTGAGATAGCCTTCAATGTATCCTCTTTTTATATATATATGGATATATATATTTAAATAGAATTTCCAATATTTTCCTAAAATATGTCATAAGTACAGTTTTGTGAAGTTTCCTTTAAGTATTTGAGGCATATTTGATACCTAACCCTTTATAACCAGAAGTCTAAGAACTCAGATGCTACTCTGAGAATGGCAGTGCAGCCAATTGTAGCCTTTTTGCCCTTTGTGGTACAATGCAACTTGCTTTTATAACCTGATAATACGAATATATTCCTGTTTTAACAGTATAGTAATTCAAGTTTCTCTTAAGACCTTATTTAATTCTGTAAATCTAATTTGATTCTTCTTCCAAAGCCCTAGCCTCCTTCTTCTCGTACTAATGCTTCTTCTTTCTAATCTTATTTGCATTCATATTATCCACCCAGGTGGTACACCAATAAGAGGTAAGAGTGCTGAACTAACGTTCACAGAATGATCTTACTCATTCTTTCTGTCTTTTCATCCCTCTCATCTTTGTCCTGTTTTTGGTTTTGTTTTGTTTTGTTTTCCTTAAGAAAAAAAACAAAACAAAACAAAAACCCACAGAAATGTCCATCATCCGATTTTTTTTTTCCTTTGTCCTGTTTGGTTATGATCAGTGACTTTCATATTGTGACCTTTCTTTTTTCACATTGCCTTTTCCTTTCCCCTTTTCATTTGTTCATGAAAAAAATAAAATAATAATAATAAAAAAAAGAATTAATTTGTGATATGCTTCAAAGAAAGCATATCCAGGTCTCCTGGCCATAGCCCAGTCACAGCGTACCATTTGTCCCTCTTTTTTCTTTTTCTTCTTCTTCTTCTCCTTTTTCTTCTTCTTCTTTTTCTTCTTTTTTTCTTTTTCTTCTTTTTTTTTTCTTCTTTTTTTCCTTCCTCTTTTTTTTTTGTCCAACTGGAGCAAAAAAAGATCATTTTTTTTCTTCCTTAGCTGTTCTTGTCCTGGACCAAAGCCAAGATGGTCTGGAGAACAGTAGCAGACATGCAGAAGACAACATGGACTATCTTCTTTTTGTCTTAACTTTCATAAAAGGTTTTTGTTTTTGTTCTTCTTCAATCCTTTTTTTTTCTTTGACCTCATAAAATTGAAAATTATGTATCCCCCCCTAAAAATTACAGAAATGTTTTTTTTCCCTTAATTGTGGTTTTGCCTTTTTTTTTTTTTTTTTTTTTTTTTTTTTTTTTTTTTTTTTTTTTTTTGGTTATTGTTGTAGTTTTCTTTTTCTTGGAATTCTCTCACCTCTGGATTTTTGGATCTTCTAATCTACAGGCTTTGGAAATGAATGGTTACTGACTCATTATTCTTGGTGGTATGTGGTATTGTTGGTTTTTGATACTCTAGCAAAACTGTTTACTTCTTTCATGATTCTTGTTTTTATTTTTCTTGGGTTTTGTGACACCACACTGCTAATCCCACTTGTGGATTTTGATGGGTGTCTCGGGGGGGCCCTCCTATGGTCCTCAGCAGTGGTTGGTTGGTTCTTCCTTGTTGGCGTAGACCATGCTTTTGAACTTTTTTGTCTTCTAATTCAACTGCTCTTTGTTTTTCAGCAAACGTACTTTAAGATTGTAAGTTGCGGAAAACTGTCTTTCTTTTCTTATCAATCTGCATGTCTTAAAGGAGTTTTATTTCTTTAAAATATTATTTTGATAATTGTAAGTGACTAATACAGTTTCTTTTTTTTTCACTTCAAGCAGCCTTTTTGTTCTTGCTGCGCATTTTTGGCTTTCTTCAGCAGAAGATTTCTTGAAGTCTGTCCTGCTTTTTTACGAGTACCACCTTTTGTGTGACTTTTATTACTAGATTGAARCAATGAAATAAAAATTAAGAAATTATAATGACCCAACTACTTAATCTCTATTGTTTTATTCAAAAGCCATTCTTCCTTGAAGCAGTCTCACCCATCTTCATTTAATGGTTTAGGAAAGAGTATTGTTTAGAGAGGGTTTTGTTGTTTTTTTTTTTGCCAAATGCTAATTGTTTTCCTGTGCTAGCACTGATGATGTGAAAAAAATAATCTCTGTTTTTTTCATTGCATCATTTTCTGTCTGTGCACCTTAGCAAGAAAATGAATCGACGTTGAGTGGACCTTCGCATACAAGCTTTTCATATTGTTGAGAGGTGTATTGTTATGGATGTGAAAAGCCTTCTCTGACCCTCTCTTTGGCAATATATTTTATATTCATACAGGTGCCCTCCAAATTGAACTGAGTGAAGAATCTGACCAAGGCAAATATGAGTGTGTTGCAACCAACAGTGCGGGTACACGCTATTCTGCCCCTGCCAATCTATATGTCAGAGGTAGGAATGACATAACCCTGGCATCGACTGTTCGTTCAGGTTCAGGGCTAAGATACTCTCAGGATCTATACAATTACCACTGTAATAATCCAAATGCCATGGTAAATGTGTCAATTGTGAAATTAATTTTAAACTGTGGAGGAAAGGCTTGGGGTTTATTTTTTTCTTTTAAAGCACTCTTGAGTCCAGTCTATCCTGTGGGTTAAGGTTTGTAAGTATATTTATATTTTTACATTTTGACTTCTACTCTTTTCTGCATTAAGTTAAACTGTGCTTTGCATTTATTTTCTTTTCTTGGTTTTGTTTTGTTTGGCTTTTCTTTTCAAACTCCTGAGGTGACTGCTCTGTGTGCCACTAATCAGCTGAGTGTAACCCCAAGGCATTGAGGTGTTTGCCTACCTGACCTCTGCTGTCTAACTGCAAAGGAAAGGCTTCTAACTTTATAACTTTATGTATGCAGAGCACAACTCTATTTTCTTCTTTTCTCTTTCTTCTTAATATAAATGTATGTGTGTATATATACATATTTAGTGTAAGACTTGCTAGTAAAGTGTAGTTCTTTAGGTTGATAGTGGTCAATTGGCTATATTATTTTCAGAAATTACCTCTGTGTATGACAGGTATGACTAATAAT